GCAGCTCCATGGCCTGTAAGAGTCCTGAGATACATCTGCAGTGAGCACTAACTGGCACCAGACTAGAAATCTGTACTGACAGCTTATGGCAGTGCTGAACCCAATTAAACACAATCTGCTGAGATGAATATAAAAACATGCTCTAGACTTTCTGGGGGGGAAATAAAATTATCATATTTTGCTGACATATGATCACCTCAAAGCATAATAAAAAACATTATCAATTCTTAGCCAGATAAATATGGTCTTATTTGACCTTATCTGGATAAGCCAACAGTCCTTAAGCAAGAATAATTCTTTTAGTTATGGAAATAAAGATTTAGGCTAGAGTGGTGCAAGGGGGTCCTGCAGGAAGTGCCGGCTGGCTCTGATGTTAGATGTGAACCCAAACTGCCATCTTGGGATCCAAATGTGAGACCAATTGGATCCACCTTAATGTTTTTAAGCTCTCTGCCAAATTATTTCCATCAACAAAGGTCAGTTTGGCTACAGAATTTTATTGCAAAGTTATTTAAATTCCTTCAGTCTTGTCTATTCACAGTGCCATTTCCACACCTCTAGTTATGCCTGGGGAGGTGGAATTAAGTGTACTAAATTAACTTTGAGGTTTAAGTCAAGTTCTTAAATTTTTACAAATCCCTTCTACATGTTCCCATTATCAGACAATCACTTTTTTTCAAATGTTGTAGAAAATATATTTCTAGTTATAGGTTCGTTTGCATGCTTGTTGAGCAGCTTGGTCTAGTGGAAGGTCTCCTGCCTACCACAGGGGTTTAGGAATCAGATGATAACTTTAAGGTCCCTGATAATCCAAACCATTCCATGAGTCTATGATATAAATAAAATAAATAAATAAATAGATCAATCCCTTAGTGTGTTTTTTTTCATAGCAAGTTGTATTTTTCCCAAACCAGAACAATGAATGAGATTTTGTGTTTTCTTTATAGACATAAGCTTTATATAAAAACCCAGCTTGTTTATCCACTGAGAATCAAAACATAGCTTCCTGTAAATACTTAAAACAATCTTCACTACTAAGCAGAAATTAAACATGCAAACAAAATATTCCCCTTGTTGTTCAAGGGAGGTTTAGCTAATGCCTAAATAGGTATAACCAGAGCTTCTCATCAGGCAAGTGAAAAGGATTTAATTTGTCCCCAGTCAGCACTATATCTTGTTACAGGACACTTTAAAAAAAACAAAAACAAAAAAAACCAGAAAGACACCACAAATATAAACCCTCCCCAAAACAAAAACAAACAAACAAACCCCCAAACAAAAAATCCAACCCAAATTTAATATGGAAGTACTAATATATTTTATATTTTCTATCTTTATTTCTTGCGTTGATTGTCAAAACCACAACTCTTTAGACCTCAGTCACTTCAGGAAAAAGTTGCTTTTCCTGGTTTATTTTGCCAGTTTAGTTTCATCAAGAAGCAAAGTCATGGACACAGAAAGAGCTGCTCAGTCTCCACAGCATGCTAAATGTTAACCTCACAGTCTCAGCCTCACACTAATAGAAAACAAAAATAAATCTGTTAAACCTGTCAGGTTTACAATCTGGAAACATTAATGGTTGATATGGAACATAGAGAGTTTTATTGAGAATGAATTGCACTTGAGGAATGCAAGATATCTCTGATCCTGGAAAAAAAGCCTTCTTAGAACAGAGGCACAGATTTTTTAAATGAGCAAGATAAAAAACACTTTAAAAAAAATAAAGTCAAATAAAAAGGAAATTTTCCCATTATCTTCGTTTTGAGCCAGTGTTTGATTCAAAGCCAGTAGACAATTTGTCCTTGATCTCACTGTAAAAGCAGAGTCAGCTCTCCTGTGCTGGAGTCTGGAGCTGCACGCCTCCTCTCTCTTGCATAGTTTTATATCCATGTTTTTGGGGATGTTTTCTGGCTTTTCCAATCCCTGTCCTGGATTTTGACTGGTAAAGACAAGTCAGCACTGCTTTCTCTTAAGAAGGACACTTCTTTTTTAGTTAATCCTTCTGTAAACTGTAAAAAGAAGTGAAATTACCTCCAAACATGCACACCCTTCACTAATTGAAGTTCCTCTAATTGATGCTCATGGGCTGCATGGCTTAACCAATCTGTGCCCAGATTGCTGGCCCAGAGGATTGCTGGCCCAAATCAAGCTGCATTCTCACCTTTTAAGGTTTGCCTCAGAATATCCTGAAAACAATTCTCACTACTCCAGCAGGTTTCCACCATCACAAACAGATAAAATTAATGTTGGGGAAGTTTTCAAACACTTCAGTGATTATACAGCCTGTACTGTACTTAAATAAAGTCCTTCAGGCACTGGGGAGTTCCTGCCTTGCCGGAAGGCAGCAGGGCATGAACTCATAGATCACTGGGAGAGAATTTTTTTTTTACTTTGTTAATTCACCTATATAAACCAGAGAGAATTCACCTCAATCATCTATATAGTAGATCCACCCTTTCTACCACTGCAATATCTTTGATGCTATAAACTACCCACACTGCTGCCACAGTAACTGGAGACACTACTCACTTCTAATATTGTTACTTGTGATAATATTTACTCCACTTTAACAAGGTTAGTTTTGCCCACAGCTTGTGGGAACATGAGAGGCAAAGTCAGTGGTGTGCAACACAGTGCGAGCGGCGGTGTGCCTTGGTCGCTGCAAGGGATCGAGATAAAGAGACCAAGAGAGGTCAGTTGTGTGCAGTCCAGAAAGATTGTATTGCCTGAACGGTTGCAGGGACAAAAGACCCTGGGCTACTGCCCAGATACAGTTTTATACAACAAAATTAAGAGATAAGGTCTAAACAATAGAGACACTGTCCAGCCAAGGCACATCAGAACCACCCCAGGGGCCAGGTCCAATGGGAACTGCTCAGGGGTGGGGAGAAGGGGATTCACAGAGAAATGCTGAAGCGAAACTTTCCTGAAACAATTTTGAGTCCAGAACGAATGGGCATAGAGATGCTAATTGCCCATTTGGCCCCTTGATTTGGACCACATTTTTGGATTGTTGTGCTACTTTTGGACCTCCCACACCTACAACTGGGTGGCCTACATTTTCCAACTCCCATTGCTTTGGCCATTTTTGAGAAGGAATGACTGTCACATCTGCCCCTGTGTCCATCATCCCCTGAAGGAGAACAGAATGGCCCTTGATCTGGAGGCCACACCACACGAGGGGTTTCTCCTCTCCCAGCGTCTCGGTGTAAAAGACCAAGAGGGCATGATCATCACACAAAAGATGGGGCACTAGAATGGCCTGCACAATGATCTGTCCCTCCACCAGGAAGAGAGGAGGGTGGACACAGCGTGCCATGAGATAGAAGGTCCTGGGATCGAGCGAAACGATGCCAGGAGGAATTTCTATCTCCTTTGGAGTGTACTTTGTGTCCCCAATGACAAGATACTTGCAGTTTAGTAGATCATTCCGTCTGCAAGTCTCGCAGTCCCGAATGCAGGCCAGGAGCTCTGCTGTAGCTGTAATGAAATGCCAGTCCTGATTAGAAAAATGAACAGGTTTAGTAAGTCTCAACCGATAAGATTCAGTTTTATCAATGGTGTAAGCTTGGCTGCTGGCACTAGGCACAATGTGGTAAACAGCAGCTCTGGCCACAATGCCTTGGCCCAACCCCATTTTTGCCATCACGCAGGATAGGACCACACTCCCCAATAAGTTTTTTTGCTGATTGGAGATCTCCCCAGCTCCCACTTTCCCCTCTTTGGAAGGCACTGTCCCCCACAGGGGGCACTGGCCTATGAGATTTCCTTCCTGGTTACAGAAATAGCATCGGCGTTTGGGTGCAGGAGGCTTGGCAGCCCTTGGTGTTTTCAGGGTTACCGTTGCCTCTGCAACCACCTTTCCCCGCGGTTTTATCACTGAGTCCTGTGTCATTAGTGTAGCTTTCCTCATGCACTCCTCAATGAGCTGATCGAGTGAGGGGGGAGGCGATGATGGAAGGGCCAGGATGACTCGCTGACAGGCTTCATTTGCATTTGTGGTGACAAGTTCTAATGTAAGTTGATCTTGGAGCTCTGGATTTTGCACCCTTTTTTCCACTGAAGCTCACACTCAATCCACAAAATCCATGAATGGTTCTGTAACAGACTGCTTTAAAGCGGTATAAGAAACAAGAGGTTCTTTAGAAGGCATGTTTAAAAATGCTGATTCTGCTGCATCCCTGGACAGGTCTAACACTGCTCTGGGAATGCCTGCGGCTTGCTTCTTAGCTTGGCTCCAATCACCTTCACCCACTAGATGTTCTAAAGTGATTTCCTCATCCTCTATGTCTATGGAATGGTTTGGACTCTGCAAAATCTCTGGGAGGAGATTTCCTGCAAGCCTTTTCCAAGTTCTTTCCCACAATCTAAACTCAGACTGAGGGAGCAAGCAAGTGAAAAGACGTCTCAAATCAGCAGGGACAAATGTTTTGGAGCTTAGAGTAGCCTTTAAAATGCTCTTAAAAAATTTGCTCCTTTCTCCAAACTCACGCTTTGTTTTGCAGAGTTCCTGACACTGTTGTATGACAGGGGCTCCCATCTAGGGTTTTTTCCTCTGGCATTATAAATCACTGGGGCCAGGAACGGAGGTTCGGTGTCTCTGACCAGTTTCTGTTTCCCCGTGCTGACAGTCTGGTACCTGCCATTGCTGAGGGAACCAGGAGTGAGAGAGGGGCCGGCTTGTGTGGGAGTGGCCGCAGCTGGCGGGGCCATGTGGAGCGGGGCAGGGGCAGGGGGTGGTGATGCAACTGCGAGGGGAGGAGCTGAGGGCTGGACTGGGGGCTGGACCGGGGGCTGGACTGTGGGCTGGACTGTGGGCTGAACCGCCGCAAGGGAGGAGGGGTTGGGATCAGGGATGGGCGAAGGGAGGAATGCGAGGGCTGTGGGCATGTTCTGGGCTGGCACAGGGAGCAAGGAATTCTGGGATGGAGAAGGGAATGTCGCGTGGCCGCCTCCATCTTGTGGTGGCTGCACGGGGGTGGGGGGGGTGGTGCAAAGCATGGATTTTGAGCTGCGGGAGCAAAATCAGGAGATGGAGAAGGGTTAAGAACTGAATCTACATCTGCACGGTCAGTTTTTTCACAGCACGGGACGTGGGGGGTCACAGGGGACACGATGGAACCCTTTTCTGTTCCCCGCGCGTCATGAGTGTCTGCACTTTCTTTCACAAAGTCATAAACGAACAAAAAGATTCTCATAAAACGTTCTTTCACTGAGGGATTTCCTGCCTTTGTCCTTTCACTCAGCACTGCACCCACACATTTCCAAAATCGTCTTTCTTTCACTTCTTGCTCTGTTACCTCCAAAAAACTTACTGTTATCTATTTGACAAACTGTTTCACAAGGCTCTTAGGAAGTTTTACACCTGCTTGCTGCAGGGGTTGCTGAACTTGTTTATAAATCTCTTTCTGCTGTGTAGTCAGCGTAACACCCATCGCTGGCTGCACAGCAAATCTCACCCAGTTACTGCAGCAAAAGCCCCAAAGTTCTAAAGCCACGACGGAGACCCCCGCCACGCCCGCGCGCTGGCGTGTCCCTCCATGGGAGCACGAGAGCCTACCTCCAGTCTCCTGGCCGGATCCCTTCCCGCCAGTACTGAGACTCACCCACCGCCGTCCTTTAGACACCACGCTGCAGTAACAGTTCCCGACTCCCACAGACAATCTTCCAGGTGTTAGGAATGTGCCGTCCGCATCTGTGAACACCATGCCGGACAGAAATCGGCATCTCTGTCTCCGCGGCAACAGTCCTGCCGGGCTGCGTGGAAGGGCGAGTGCCCACACCACCAGCGGGTCCGAGAGCTTCTCCCCGCGGAGCTGACAGCCTGCGTGGCGATTTTTTTGCACCGCTCGCCGCTCTGTCACTCGCGGTGACACTGATCACAAAATGTCTGGAAAAGCTCTTAACCGGCGGACTGACCGCAGCAGCCGCAGCTCGCTCGCTTGAACCGATGCAAACCCCACATTGGGCGCCACTTACGGCTTTTGGGGGTCATTGCAGCTGTCCCCCGTCCCTCCCCGGCCCCCCGGGACCCCTCCGGCTAGCTGTCCCCTCCGGGGACCGGGGTTTTGCTGCAGTCCCGCTGCCCTGGGCTTACCAGGCAGCGGCTGGGTTAGCACGGTGCAAGTGGCGGTGTGCCTCGGTCACCGCAAGGGATCGAGATAAAGAGACCAAGAGAGGTCAGTTGTGTGCAGTCCAGAAAGATTGTATTGCCTGAACGGTTGCAGGGACAAAAGACCCTGGGCTACTGCCCAGATACAGTTTTATACAACAAAATTAAGAGATAAGGTCTAAACAATAGAGACAGTGTCCAGCCAAGGCACATCAGAACCAACCCAGGGGCCAGGTCAAATGGGAACTGCTCAGGGGTGGGGAGAAGGGGGTTCACAGAGAAATGCTGAAGCTAAACTTTCCTGAAACAATGGGGCATACATAAATGTATCTTTTCCTCAGTTTCCCATTCCCAAGGCCTTTCTAAAACCCTTCCTCCACACTACCATGCCAGCATGATAGCAACAGTGTGCAACACAGGGTGGCCTGGATTAGAGCTCTGTATTCCCTTGGAACCAAACCAACTCAAAAATCAAACTATGTGATTTCTGCAGAAGTTCACAGCAGTACAGATCCTGTTGCAGGCTCCTTGGCAGGGCAGCAATCAGCCTTTTTCAGTCCTGGACATTCCTGGGAATATGAGTTTTTTAAAGGGTGGTAGAGTCTTAGTCCTCCTTTCCAAGTGTGACCAGAAGTGCTCAGCCTGCATAAAGCAGATTAAAACTCAAGCAATTGCTTGGATCATTACATGACCCAATAAAGATGAAATATCATTGCAGGCTTTTTGCTGGACCATCTGACTCAGCCATACATGAAAAGGTAGGAAGCAGGGAGGGGAAGGAGGGGAAGCGAGGCAGGGAAGGGAAGGAGGATATGCACAGAAGTGATGCATGAGAAACCATTGCCAAGGCCAGCAGGGCAAATGTCCCCAGTGTGCTAAAAACATTCAGTGCTGTGCTCTCTTCCTGACCTCTTTGGCTGCGTGCTCTGTCTATTCCAGTAAACAGAATAAGGCCAGGACACAGGCTGAGAGCTGGGCCACGCTCATCTTTACCTCCTTGCTCCTGGCATGGTTGGGGCTCCCTCAAAGGCTTACCCTGGCAGTCAGGGCTTGGCGTGGCTTCAGGGGGAAGCTCGTGATCATGGCCAGCTTGTCCCACCGTGTCTGGGGGAGCCTGAGCAATGGCACGTGGGCAAGGATGAACAGAATGAGCCACCCGGCCAGGGAGTACCTGCTACAGGTACAGCCACTGCTAAAGCTGGGAGACACCATCTTTATGCTTGTTCTGGCTAAATCAAACTTTTAAAAGCAAATGATGAAGCACTTGTATACCCATATGTGGGAATCCAGGGCTTCCCTCTGGTTGCCCTGGCAGGTCTGAGACTCTGGCAGGGGGTCAGGAACCCTCCTGTACAGAGCCCCCAGAGACACTGTCTCTGATCTCTGTCCATGGAAAAGAATTTTCAGTCTTACAGGATGAATTACAAGCTCTGAGTGTTTGATATAAGTAATAATTAACTGTGGCACAGGTGCAAAAATAAAATTTTAGGTTTCTAGATTAGGGGTTCAAAGGGGACAAGATATAGGAAACTGGGTGTGTCTCATCCTTTTTCCTCTTCATGCCCTCCATGTTTCACTGTAGTGTTGGCATTGGTATAGGCTGGGGACACACTGTCCAACGTAGGGGACAGATATTGGCACGTTATTGTAAATCCAGCCCAGGGAGTTTCTGGTATTTAATGTTTGTAACATCCCACTGAGGGCAGAGCCCCACACGCTGCCCTGCAGGACAGACCTGTGGCAGGGCAGCAGAACATGTTAGAGATAAACAGAATAAACAACCTTGAAACCAGCACAGACAAATTATGGCTTCTGCTTTGGCAGCAGGGCTGAAAGACAGAGACTTTTTACAATCTCAGAATCATCAATACCTCAGATTCCAACACCCATCCATGTGTCAAATAGAGAACTGTCACCGGGGTGTGCCCTTCTGTGGCTATGCTGAAGCAGCCTGGCAGCAATCACTGCATGATGTGCCCACCTTCTGCCTCTCTTGGCTCCAGCATGTTCCTAAAACACTGTGAGCCTCCAGCCCTGACACAGAATTTAGTAATAAAGGGTAGGAAGGCTTTTCCAGAGAGGACTGTCCTTTTCTGCAGTGTCTAGTTAAGGCCTGCCCTCCAGTGCCTGTGATGCACTCTGGATTGTGGAGGTAAATGCAGCAGGAAAGAAACTGGCTCTTCTATGCAAATATATGCAAGTAGTCTGTGTTACAAGAAAGTGGCAGAGGGATTCTCTTCTAACCTTCCTTCTTCCCCATAAATCATACTGAATTGTGCACTATTTTCCTGTTAATGCTTAGAGCTTAGAAAGCCTTTCAGGAGGATTTACTGTGAAATTTATACCTTTATTTAGAGAATTACTCACAGGTGGTGAATTGACTGAAATCTCACTGTGCTGCTGTACACTGCTATTCAGAACAGTAATCTTGGCATCAATTTAGCTTTGCATTCTGCTGAGAGCATTTTCTTTTGCATGCTTGTTTTCACAAGGTGCTTTATTCTGACTTGCTAGCTCAAAGCACATTTCTCACTCATTGCTTTGCTTGCAAAAGCCTTGTTCAACTGGCAAATTAATATGAATGCACTGAAAAACAATATCCCACCAAAACTGCCCATAGGCTCTTCTGAGGAGAATTCAAGCTTTGAAATATATGTTTTATTTATAGAATGTCCATTAGAAATCAAGCCAGGAAGTTAAAGCTGCTGAAATGCTAGACATTCTGTTTAATTTTTAAACAAAATTCTAAGAAATATATTCTAGTATAAAGGAGGCTTTTATGAATCATGAGTCATTTTCTGTTGATGGAAATACGATTGGTATCTCATGTAACTTATTACTTCCCTGTTCTGCCCCTGCTCTTTCCTATTGAAAGTATCTGACAATCTATCTTTGCTATTTATAAAACACCTAAATGGGCTGATAACCAAAGAGAAAAGAGACTGTTTGAAGTTACCATTCAAAAGGTCTTTCGGTGCTCTCTAATTCCTCATAACCTGTCACATGCCAGTCTCACACTGCTCATAAGAGCAAAGTAGGACTGATTTGAACATGCACACTATTTCCCAATTTTTCCATCCTTTTGTCTAGCTGCCTGAGTTTCAAAACATGAACTATGTTATTAATTCAATCCTCACCAGAGCCATCTTTTTCTGTTGAGTCATGGCACCAGATTTACAGACAGGTGTCTGTTCTTCACACAGTTGTCTCTCTGCTGGTTGAATTATTCCTCAAGAGAAGACATTTCCAGGCTCCTGACAAATATATTTCATAAAAAGAATCATTCTTGGAGGCATTCTTAGACAATTCTTATTTCAAAGTGCTCCATAAACACATTAAATTAAGAAAGCTGCATGAGTTTTCCAGCACCTGGAAGAAACCAGGTGAAATGCTGCTACTTTCTAGGTTGCAGTCATTATGACAGCTTATAGATTAAAAGCCAAAATTTAAAAAATTAAAACTAAACCAGATAGAAACAGAGTAAAAATCCACTTTTCTAATTGCAGGGCACAAGTGCTTGGGCTGGGCTGGCCCAGGATAACAGCATCTTAAAACCACTGCCTGATTTATGAATTGGATCTTGCTTGTATATAGAGGGTGTAAGAGTCAAGCTAAGTAGAAGGGACATATCCACCTTTCTCATAATACAACATACCCTTTTGACTGTGTTCATGAATAAAAATTAATTATAATTATCACAATAAACATGTTTTTCAAGAGAAACTAACTGTGTGTCCTAGGGAAGGACAGTTTATTACCTGTAACATTGAGAGGTATATAAACATAAATAGGTCCCTTGTTAGAAAGGTTTTTACTTAAGAAAAAAGCTTACTTCAAAATGTTGTGGCAATTTTGATAGCTCCTCTGTCTGTCCCAAACTTACGATCTGTTCCAAATATTTCCTTTGCAAACCCTGAGGAGTCCAGAAGAATCCTCTTTGAAGTCCACTGTCCTATCAGAAAGCACTTAATAGCTTTTGGAGCAACACAGATTCTGTCACTAGCAGCATCACAGAAAAAGTAAAAGTGGGGAAAAAAGAGAAAAAAAACAAAGGATGCCTTATTTTCACATCTCCATGCAGAAGGGAGGAATGAGGTACTACTTCACATGTACCACCTGGGCATCTTCTTTACCTTCACCTCTCCCTGAAGGCATGCCAAACACACAGAATACTACACTGAAGTGTATGGCCATGCCTATTATATTAAAATGAAATGGTCTCCCCTCAGATTACCAATCTTCCTAGGTGGAAATACAGAAAAAAAGCCTCTGGGCCTTTGGCTAAAATGATCTTGAATCCTGACAGCAAGAAAATGTGGCAGGCACAGGGCAATAGGAGGCAGGATGATTCCAGGGCTATAAACCACTCTGCCAGAGTCAGTTAAAGGACTGGGCAAACATTATTTTAGGGGTTAAAAAAGAACAAATACTCAATCCATATGGAACAGATGTGGTAAATTTGAATGCAACATGAAACCTGCAGATCACTAAAGTCAAAAACAAGCTGTAGAGAATGTTGACAAACATTAAAATGGCCACATATGGAAACTGAATAAAAGGAAGAAACAACAACTTACATCCTCCTCTTCCTCCTGGTAAAGGGCTTGGGATCACCTGCCAAGCTCTGCACCTTTGCCAAAATAAAACTTTTAAACCTTGGACCCAGAGGGGCAGTGAAAGGGTAAAGGTAGCATGCAAGAAAAGGATAAATACCACAGAATTTGTTTGTACATTAACTGCATATAATTGCAAACAGAACTATTAGCAGCATTGTTATTTGACTAATACGTATTTAATTAGACTGTTTAGAATTTAATTAATTTAATTGGATTAACAATGTATTTTGCGTTTCCTCCATCCTTAACGAGATGTGAAGAAGAACAAACCAGTGGGAATTTGAGCAGCTGCTCTGTAATTTACATGCAACAGATATCCCATGCAAATCAAAGGCCTGGGAATGCAGATCTGCAAACAACTTCCTGAGGGAAAAAAACCTTGCCTGCTGAAAAAATAGTGTCTTAAAGAAAAGAGAGTTTCCTATAATACAGAAGCTTAACTGCAGTGATATGGAGGAGCAAAAACACCACAGAAATTGAAATATGCTCCTGCTGGGGTCATTACCAGACATGTTAGTTGATTCAGCACTCCATGAACTGCAGAAATTCACAGTTTTAGAAGCTGTGAGTGAATATCTGTCCTAGGCAAGCTGCGGGAGGATCCTGGTCTCAACTCTGCTACTCTCACAGCTCCTTAGTGCTTGCAAAATCCCAGTGATGCTCAGTGTGTGTGTACAGCATCAGGGAGAGGAGTGGAGGCTGTGCTCTGCAAGAGAAAAGAGTGCAGCTTCAACAGATCTAGCATTCCTAAACATGGGAATTATATCAAGAAGTGGGTGTGTAGGAAACCAGAAAAAATAGGAAAAATAAAAAAAAGAAAGAATAAAAAATGAAAACAAACAAAAAACTCAAGATAACAAAAAAGAAAAAAAAAAAAGAAAAAAGAAAAGGAGAAAAGAAGAAGGAAAAGGAGAAGAAGGAAGGAAAAGGAGAAGGAGGAAGGAAAAGGAGAAGAAGAAGGAAAAGAAGGAGGAAGGAAAAGGAGAAGGAGGAAGGAAAAGGAGAAGAAGGAAAAGGAGAAGAAGGAAAAGGAGAAGGAAAAGGGAAAAAAGAAAAATAAGAAAAAAGAAAGAGAAATAGAAAAAAAAGAAAGACGAAAAGGAAAAAATAAAGAAAAAAGGACAAAAGAAGAAAAAAGAAAAAAGGAAAAAAGGGAAAAATAGAAGAGAGAAAAGAAGAGAGAAAAGAAGAGAGAAAAGAAGAGAGAAAAGAAGAGAGAAAAGGAAAGAGAGAGTGAAAGGAAGGCTCAAGTCATTGCAGCTTTCCAGATGCAGCAGATACAGATCCCTTAAACAGTTATTTTGGGTCTGAAACCTGGACTACAAGCTTGCTGCAGTCAACCCAAATGAGTTTGTCCTGATTATTCTGCTCAGGGTTTTCCACTCCGGGAACTGAAGCACACAGGGCTATAACAGCAGCAGAGCTGTTCAGCTACAGCGAAAACATCTTAGCAACAAAGGAAGCAAGGCAGTATTTTAAAAATGTGTTTTTTCTTGCTTCTTACGGAGCAGACAGAGGCAGAAGAAACGGGCTTGACAGTTTTACTTGTGTTTAATGGATTTTAAAGTGGCTCTTGGCAGTGCAATGTATTCCTGCTGAAGGACCAGTGAGATAGGAGGCAGCTGAAACCTTGCAAATGCCTGCACACCAAGTATGACCTGAGAACACCACTTTGGCAGCCAGAAGACATGCTGTTTTTTCTTCCCAAAGTTTAAATAAACTTTGCTTTACTTTCCCACCCAAATTCTATAGTGAATTTTTGAAAGAGCTGGCCAGGGTGAGGCATATCCATCTGTCATCCTTCTTGGAAGAGCACCCAAAGCATGCTCAGCCTGCTTTGCCCCTTCAACCTCTATATCCCTGTTAACAGTTTCAGTTCTTTTGTTTCATTTTCACTCTTGTCCTGTACTGATCTGTCTTTCCAGACAACCAGAAAAAAAATGAAGAGTCACACTGACTGGAAACCATCACACCACATACCCAGCTATTGTTTGTTCTTCTGAAATTATGGATTAAAGAAGGCTTCAACTGGGTTAAGATTTTTCAAAGGATTGCAAGACAAACAACAGACAGAAAGAAATTTATTGGTGCATTGGTAGGTGTTTCTTCTACTTTTTTGTGTTTTGAAGGAGTGTGATCATTACAAAAATTACTAAAGGAAAACCATAAACAGTCCTAAAAAGAAAACAAGTGTCCTGATTAATTTCACTAGCTAATAGAAAAATTGGATTTTCTCCACACACTTCCAGCTGTTCCACATCCATCCTGTCCAGCTGGCTGATTCAATGCCTCAAGCAATCTCTTACTTCCTCAGTCTCATCAATTTCTTCCAAGAAAGTGGTGATGGAATATGCTATTTCACCATTCCCATTTTTCTTCTCTCTTTTGGATATTTTTATTCATCTCTATTTTAACTTCTGAACTGTTGCTAAATATTAGAAGCAGTAATATTAAGAAGACAAAATATCCTTCAGAGTCCTGAAAGACATTGGATTACATCCAGGGAGTCATTAAAGCTACCCTAGAGACTATAGTTTTGGAAGATTCTCATACATCAGTGTATTTTGGGACATGTGACACAAGGGTCTTATAGATCATTTTGGTAGACTTAAAGAAAAATCCTATTGAATCTATCACAATCTTTTGTGTAAAGAAGCATGCTTAGAGTGTACATTACAAAAAGGGTGTCTGTGAAGAGATGAAAAAAGTTTAAGTATAAAGGAGCTTGAGAAGGTGGGAGAAATATCTACAAAATATTTCAACTGATGGCTGGTGAGAAAAATACACTTAATGAATTAAGAGTTTTGAGCATCAAGAACATGCTGCTTTGTACAGTATTTGTAGGATACCCTGGACAAACACCAGCTCACAGTAGCATCCACTCAGTTTTCGGGAGGCACACTCTTCAGTGCAAAACCAGAAATACATGGCTGTTAAAAGTATTAGAATGTCATCCACTAATTGGTCTTTGTAAATTCTTCATGATCTGAACATTGCTTTTCATTTTTCTTTCATTACTTGCTGAAAAGTAGAAAATTATGCAGCTGCAAAGGGATGCCTGGAGGACACCTAATCCAACCTGCTCCTCCAAGCTGCAGGAGATTCCTCAGGCCCTTGTTCTGTCAAGTTTTGTCTATTACCAGGAATTGGGAGTTTGTAGCCTCTACAGGTCCCTGTAGCAGTGTCTAACCATCCCCAAAAAGTTTCTTCTCATGTCAAATTGGAAGCTTCCAGTGTTCTCACATTATTGGGCTCACCACTTCTACCCTTCCATCACACATCTCTGAAAAGAGCCTAGATTCCTCTTCTCTTCATTATCCCATCAGGAAAATCCAGCTCTCAGCTGCTCCATTCAGCACTTTGAGATCCAAAACATCACTGGGCTCTCTCCAGAAGGTCCCTGGAGATGGGGAGCCCCAGGCTGAACGGGGCTTTGCAGTCCCAGATAAAGGGAAGGAAACACAGTTAATCTGCTCATTAGCTGTAGGTAACATACTACTAATCCCTGTGCTTTTGGCTGTCTTCAAGCCCAGCAGTGTACAACTCCTCTTTGTAGTTCTCCTTTCACAAAACCTTCCAATAAATGGTGAAGAAAAGCTAATTTGCATTCACTCCATGGCTTGAGTAACTTATGACGATCCCACAGGTTTATTTCTCAGCAGAAGAGCCAGCTGGTGATTTCAGCAGACAACTGTTTTGATCTCTCTCCATATCAATATACAAATTCCCAAAAACCTAAGTGCTTGGGCTCCTTGAATAAAGAAAATTTAATAAAAAGTTTTCATAGTGTACTGCTCAGATGAACATCGTGCTGAAATATTGTATAAACTATGTGTTCCTATCTTTGAAATTTATAATTGAATCCAAATGTCAATATGATTTATTTTTAAAACATCTCTCAGACACCATATTAGGAAAGGATAGAATTCTACAATTTACAGTGGAGGAAAAAAAATAGATCCTTAAAAGCTGTAGACTACAGGCATGCTATTTTACATGAAAGATAGCACTAGATTCAATAAACTTCACTGGGTCAAGACTATTGAAGTGATTTATAGACATGAAAATTACAATCTGCACCTATTCTTTGTACATACCCCCCAAAAATATCCTGAGCTTCATCTCTGACTTTCCAACAAATTCACAGACACTCATAAGAACACAGCAATGAAAAGATATTATTTTGTTTTATGTCAGCAGTACTCACAATGCTTGAGAAAATTTGCTCTGACACCATTCCCATTTTATATATACACTCCATTAATTTCTGCACTGTCTTTGCTCTACCAACTAACCTTAACATTTAAAGGTAGGATAATGTAAACCATTCTTGTATCCCCTAAAATATCTAACTGACCTTTAACTTATTGATTAAAATAGAGTTTTTCAAATGTCTTAGGTTCATATAAAATAAACACACTCTCCACAAAGCAGCATTTAGGCCTTTGCCACTCAGGCAGAATGTTGTGTCTGCCCTGGGCCAAGCATGAGGAGCAGCTCATGCTGCAGAGCTCAAACCTTGGCATGCAGAGCTTTCCACAAGGCAATTTCCTCCTATAAGATGCAGAGCTGCTTCCTAGTCCCTTCCCAAATCCCCAATACCAGCTGGCTGTGCACTCTCATGTATGAAGGCTGTCAGAGCTAAAATCCAGGAAGAGTTTGGGCAGATTGGCCATTGATGGCACTGGAGAGATGGCACCAAATGGAGAAGCTTAGGGAAGGTGTCTGACAGAAATGAAAAAGCCTGTGGGATAAAGGGGATACCAGAGGTTCTTTAGAACACAAAGCAGACAGTTCTTTCTAGAGAAGATGAAAGAAGATTATTTGGTTGGTAGTTGAAGATTATTTGGGAGATTAGGATGCGCAATGCCAGGCAGAGAAATTATTTCAGCTAACCCAATGCTTGCCTCTTCTCACAGATGCTTTAGGCACTGTGCTGGACTTTGTTATCTCATTAAATTTGTGGAAGACATGTAGAGTCCACTCTTTCAAACCACACCCTCTCCCCTGCTGTAGAAGAGAAGCATCTTGATGGGTGAAAAGTTTAATGGGATGCCTCTTAGAACCTCCACATCTGCTGCCTCTCCAGCTGCTTTGCTGATGGAGTCACTTCATGCACACATCTATGTTTTACATCTGCCCTCAAAGCCCCAGTTGTGCAGTCAGGATGGGCCAGGTGCCTCTGCCTTCCCCCACTACCTTCTGACATCTTTCCACCACTTCCCAAGCCCAGGTTAAAGTGCTGAATGAAGATTATCAATATGCATTGCCATAAGTAAAATTACAG